AATCCCTGGAGTATGTGCATCCCTGAGTGACCAAATTTCAGTGTATAAGCAATAACCATTTACTGACCAGACTCTACAGAAACAGCATTAACACCTTTGTAGTCTGTTGTCCTGCAACTTTTTGTTCTTAATCTATGTGTTGGAGATTTCCCAAAGACCCAGGTATGCCCAGGGGGGAGACTGACAACTGCAAAGTGAAACAAAAAGCGTACCAACCTTGAGCATTACCTCAATAACCAAAATTTATTAATAAAGGAATGGTACTCACAAACAGCGAATAAAATCAGGCATGTAAGTCCTCCAAGGGACTTCAGAGACAAGAAGCCAGTGCGAATCCTATCATGGGGGTAGACACTTAGTACAGCTGACTCGTTTCGAAGGCCATGCCTTCTTCATCAGAGCTAACTGGACTGAGAGTGGATCAGCTGGATCAGTGATATTTCATGTTTGGCAGCAGAGGGAGATCTTGTGTCATATAATATGGCTGCAGACTGGTTCTAACCGTGGAATGCACGCCGGCGTGGCGTGGTAGTGATTGCACATGCGCAATATGTACGAAGTCTGCGTGATCTCATAAGTGTATATCTGATGGTCATTGCGCACGTGTTAGATGGCGCTGCTCTATCTAAAAAGGGTCATAGTTTCCCTACCAGCCTGCACACTGACAGGCTCAGGTTGGCAGCAGTGAATATCTAGGAGAGCTCTCTCAGTTCAAAACGCCAACCAGCCTCAAATGTGCCTAATCAAATGGGGCAATCAAAGAGGGCACTATCTTCAACAAAAAAAAAAAAAAGGAAGGATTGTGGAAATTGTAATGTTTTCATATCTATTAGATAATCAATGTGTGAAATCGGTAGAGCCAATGTAAGTAAATAAATAAATAGATAGATGGATTAAAAATAGCTTAAGTAAAATATATAAATACAAATATAATTGTATATACATGTAATTAGTGGCAATATTGGTATATTCAGTAAAAATGACGAACATGCCAATGAAGTAGCCAAGCACTGAGGACATCACTCCCGCACAGAAATACCTATCAAATCAATAAAAACACATAAAAATATATGTATAAAAGATATGTACAATAAATATGTATAATATATGATGCCCATGGATATACAGTAAAATACAATGAAGAATTATATCTGCACACATATATATATGGTTCAACATGATTATGGTTGCGTATATAAATAAATTAAATATATATTACGGTTGTAAATGTACACGTAAATGCATGAATCAATACATCAATAAATGAATAAATAATAAAGCAAAAAATAAGTGTATGTAAAACTATATTATGAACAGATAAAATGATGTATTATGGTGTATATGTATCAATTCATCTCTGTACACATAAGGTATCCAGTAGGATATAGGCTCAATATGCTCAGTAACAAGGAATCGTGTTGGGAGGTTACAGATTGTCACCATATTCTCAGGAAGAGCAATTAAAAAGACGTGGTATAATATATTATTGTTGTAGATGGACAACCGATGTGGCCAAGACTAATACTGGATGACAACAATACTCATAATCGACACACAAATGGTAGGTTAATAAATTATTGAAATTGGTATGAATAGTATAATTAGATGAATAAATTCTGTCATTAAAAACCACACATGAATTGAAATGAAATGAGGACACCCTCACCAACCAGATATATATAGATCATTTTTTAAAAGACATAGTGACAAATCTTTCATTGTATGTCAAAGACTCCAGCCCCATACTAGATATATTAGCAGGATATAAGTGGGAACAGGGATACAGATGGTTATCCCTAGATGTGGCATCATTGTATACGTCTATCCAACATGATTATGGCCTCTGAGCCATTCAGTATTTCTTGGCCAAAGACTCACCACTTCACCATACTCAAATTCAATTTTTATTTAATTGCATTTAATTCGCTTTAGAACACAACTACTTTTCTTTTTTGGATAAACATTATCGCCAGATCCAGGGCACAGCTATGGGCGCACGTTACGCCCCCAGCTATGCGAACATCTTTATAGGATTTTGGGAAAACAATTACATTTGGAGCAATAATCCCTTTAGTGCAAACCTAGTCTCATACGGAAAATACATAGATGACGTCATTATCATCTGGAATGGCACTGACTTTGAACTAGATGGATTCCTAGATCACTGCAGGAACAACCCATATAACATCTCATTCACTCATGTGATTGACAATGGCACTTTAGTATTTCTAGATTTAGAACTTAGACATGGAAGTAATGGTCAGATATGCTCAAAAACACACTTTAAACCAAGCGGGCAACTCTTACCTACATGTTAAGAGCAACCACCATCCCCAATGAATCCAAAATGTTCCCTTTGGACAGTTTTGCAGGCTAAAACATACATGCACGCTAAAACAGGACTACATTGAACAGAGTCTGATCCTTAAAAAGAAATTCAAGGACAAAGGGTACAACGAAAACCATATAGAAACAGCTTTCAGTAAATATTTAGCTATGTATGATTCCAGAGTCTCTAATGATACGGCAATTGGCCCCAACTCCCAGGATTCCACTGTCACTTTCAACAAGAATGAAGTACGTTTTTGCACTAGATTCAGCAACAAAGCCTGGGACATTAAACAAATTCTGTCTTAAAATTGGAATATTCTTAAAACAATCCTACCGTAGGAAATGCACTCCCGGATAGACCTACATTAATTTTGAGAAAACCTAGAGACCTTAGGAGTCTAATAGCGCCAAGTAGAGTGCGCAAAACCATGACATCTAACCCGGGCCCGTGATCAGTGCTATTTGACCAAAAGGGAAGCTATAGGTGTGGCGTCTCCAACTGTGGTACCTGTGGAGTCATATGCCATCAGAAATGAGATTTTACAAGCACTGACGGGAAAAGGTATCCCATTAAACAGTTTATAAATTGTGGGACCTCCTTTGTCATCTATGGCATACTCTGTCCATGCGGCTTATTATATGTAGGCCGTACCTCGCGTTGCCTGAGGATACGTATTAGTGAGCATAAAAGCAGCATTAAACTAGGGAAAGACAAATACTCAGTCCCCCGCCATTTTAAAGAAAAGCATTTGAGTAACCACTGCGGTATGAAAGTTTTTGGAATTGAGGCCATCTCAAAGGATTTGGATAGTGGGAGGAGACACCAAGAGCTATGCAGAAGGGAAAGCTTCTGGATTTTCACATTGGGCACCCTGTCTCCTAGAGGCCTTAATGATGACCTTGAAATTCACACTCTCATTTAACCACCAGCTAGTGATGTGCATATCTGGTTGGTGAGGGTGTCCTCATTTCATTTAAATTCATGTGTGGTTTTTAATGACAGAATTTATTCATCTGATTATACTATTCATACCAATTTCAATAATTTAATAATGTAATAATTTATTACCTACCATTTGTGTGTGGGTTATGAGTATTGTTGTCATCCAGTATTAGTCTTGGCCACATCAGTTATCCATCTACAACAATATTATATTATACCACATCTTTTTAATTGTTCTTCAGATATCAGATATGCGCTTATGAGATCACGCGGACTTCGTACATATTGCGCATGCCACACCGGCGTGTGTTCCACGGTTAGAACCAGTCTGCAGCCATATTAAATGATACAAGATCTCCCTCTGCTGCCGAACATGAAATATCACTGATCCAGCTGATCCACTTGAAATATGACATTTCCACCCCCCTACCTGCATGAGTCACGCCTTTGCCTGGTAATATTTGTGAATGTCCACTTTTTTATATGTATAAATGTATATACACCTATTTATTGATGAAACAATGTAGTTTTTGACAATTTCCAATTATTTTTAGCAAGCACTCTGGATGAATTGCCCATTCTATATACTAATCACTTGCCATTCATTGATCATCCAACTACAAGTTTTTCTTTCTCTTCTTTCTCTTGTATGTATTTCACCATCAGTTTTATTTATTACTGCTACGGTTTTATACATTTAAATTTAATGAGTTATTGTATATATATATATATATATATATATATATATATATTTATTTATTTATTTATTTATTTATTTATTTTTATCTGTCCTCTGATGGCTTGATAATGAGATATTGTACCTTGTTGACATCCTAGCCCCTCCCCCAGCCTGAGACTGCCCAACCCAGAGGGGAAGGCCAAATTTCAGTCTGTGGGCATAAATGGAGCAAACACTCTCAGTCCAGTTAACTCTGATGAAGAAGGCATGGCCTTTGAAACGCATCAGCTGTACTGAGTGTCTACCCCCATGATAGGATTCGGGCTGGCTTCTTGTCTCTGAAGTCCCTTGGAGGACATGCCTGATTTTATTCGCTGTTTGTGAGTACCATTTGTTTATTAATACATTTTGGTTACTGAGGTAATGCGCAAGGTTGGTGCGCTTCTCATTTTTGTTTCACTTTGCAGTATTGGTCGGGCTTCCCCAGCCTTGTTTGGAGCTGCACAACCTATCATGCACTGGTGGTCGATTTTTTCTGGTTTTGGTTCCATCCACTCGCCACCGCTCTGGGTCCTAGAGCGTAGGAGAAATCGTATCTGGAAGACTGACAACACCAGGGACCTGTTTTTTTTTTTTAAATATTGGTGGATTAGCATTACAGAGTTGAGTGATTGATAGAAACGGGCAGGCATTTGGTAACTTATTGAAGTATACATTTCAGTGTGTTTACAGTCTCGCCCTTACAGACCAGTATCAATGACTTATCAATATGTCATAAATGAAGTAAAATCGATATTGATAATGTACTCTATGGTATTGTTTGTTAGTATGCTACAAAAATAAATTATTTAAAATATAGTAAATAATATATAGCATAAAACATGCTTTTAGCCTTAAAGTCTTAGATGAATAAAAAGGCAACAGAAAATACTACAAAAAATACTCTCTTTTTTTATGACAACATTATGACTGTAGACAGATCTGCAAGATTAGTACTGCACAAGCTGAGTTTGTTGTTAATTCTTTTTGTTGAACTTTCCCTAATAGAGTTTGCCAAGAAATCTTCACATTATCATGTCACCGGGCTCAAAAACTAGTGGTCAGGAGGCTGAGGACTCATCTGATTCTATGGGATCTCCTGATGAGAAATATTTCTTCAACAATGGTGAATCAAAGAAAAGAAGGAGGATGAACCTAAAAGGCATTCCCCAAGTGTGTTTTTAAGCCTTTACATACTCTCTAACAATGTAATAAAATGTTTTCTGGGCATTAAATGTTTGATTTTTTTTTTCTATTTTTGCAAACATTAACAATCAAAAACAATGATATCCATAAAGAGATCAATAAAGTGCAATGCCAGCTGAATACTAAGATCACCCTTAATCCAGTAATATATCCAATAAAAAGTCATTTAGATACAGTTAATATCAATCCATGGGACTGTTTTTATGTGAGCTTCCTGTAATCCCCTATACAGAACCATCAAACTGACAGAAGAAGCGTTGCACATTTGTGTTAGTCTACTGCTAATAATATGCTTACAGGAGAAGATAGTTCCAGAAGAATATCATCATGTGCTACTTCTGCTTCATTGTCTAATCAGCAAGTAGGGATGTGGAGAAGCTGGCACCTCACTGCTTGATGTTAACTAAAAATGTTAAGAAACATAGATTTGAAAATATTAAAAGAATAGGGGTGTATTTATAACGCAGTGAATCTGACATTCACCAAACACTGATTGCAAGTGAATCATCCAAGTGCATGTGTTTAATGATGACTGTGATTGATTCCCCACCAGTGAATGGTGTGGTGTTTGGTGAATTTCACACTCCCTGCTTTATAAATATGACCCATGGTGTTCTTTGGTACATAAGGTTTTACAGATACATAAACTTAAAAGAAATATTAAACAATATGGACTGATTTGAACTATCTATGTTCTTTATAAACAGCTGTCCTAGCTGTCTGGACTATATACCTAAAATTTATAGGGTCATTCCAAAGTAAATGGTCTACTCCTAGACCTGTAGAGTGATCCATCTGCACTACAAAGAACTCAATTACACATCTCTGTCAAATTACAAATGAGGAGCAAATATCAGCTCATTTGCTTCACTTGCAATTTGCTGAGATTCACAATGTTCCCAGAATATAGTAAAATAAAAAAGCCCAATGGACAATTGGCTAGTTCACTTAGTACATTGCAGAACAGGCAATGGGCGACCTTCCATAATGGAAACCCATACTCCAATGCAGGGTGGATTCCCTGTCTCTCACCACCAGTCAGCCGTGTAGGTGGGATCCAATGGGGATTCTGCCTTCATTTATGTGCAGAGGGCACAGAAAAGATGAAGCAAGACTTGCTGTCCATAGTATTAGGCTTCCATACAAGGACAACATCAAATAAGGAAGTATTGTATAGTATAAGACTTCCTCAACAGGGAGAGCACTGTGTGCTATGCCACTGCTATGGGGTCCTTTGGCAAACATCTAAAGGCCAACTTTGAATCCCAGTTTGAATCATCTAACTCGATCTTTCCCAATAAAATGTACTCAAACTTCACTGCAGAATTTTGTAAGTTTCTGAACATAATGCAAACACCTTTTTCACATAGGCCTATACATTTACATTTTTCATAATAGAAGGGAAGAGGAATATTCTGCAGGGAGGATGTAGTCATTTATACAATAGTTCTGTATATCACTGCTTTCATGCAGTCAGATGTGTCTGATGCCAGCAGAATGATCAGGCACAATGAGAAACATTTTAATGTTAATGTGGCTAAGTGCTTAGCACATCTGCCTGACAGCACTAGGGTTGTTGGTTCGAATCCCAACCATGGCACTACCTGCCTGGAGTTTTCATGTTCTCCTGTGCATGCGTAGGTTTCCTCTGGGTACTCCGGTTTCCTCCCACACTCCAAAGACATGCTGGTAGGTTAATTGGTTCATGTATAAATTGACCCTAGCATGTGTATGTATGAGTGAGTTAGAGACTTTAGATTATATGCCCCTTGAGGGTTAGGAACTGTTGTAAATGTACAATATACTGTAAATGTAAAGTGCTGTGTAAATTGTCAGCTCTATATAATTACCTCTAATAAATAAATAATAAATAATGGTATTGTGTCTCACAACACCCCATGATAGCATTCTGTGAATAGGAGGAATTTGATCTACTTTCTTTAGTATATTCTTCTGAATAGCTGCTATTAAAAAAAAAGGACTGTTTATACAGATCAACACAGAAAAACTTCAGAATCTGAGATCTACCCATAACATAAGAGTGTAGAGATTTTTCCTGATCTTTGCGGAGTATAGAACTTTGGTTTTTATGGCACTTGTAACATATTGATTTAAGAAACAACTACAATAAACATTTTATCTCCCTTTCTATGTTTTGCAGATTTTAAGAACAAAGTCTCCAGTATCCAACAGGCAAAATGGATTTCAAGGTTAGATATAAGTATAGCCATAAACCTTAATTTATCGAAACAGATATGTGCACTTTTTCATTGGACCGTCCCAAATGAACTCTCTGTATAGCTAGAACTGCGTCAGAGAGGTACCAGAAGCTGCTTGCTTGCTCTTTGTATTTTCTTTAATTTGATTGCAGTATTTTTATCATAGGTTATATACTGTATATTGGAAGTAAAGCCAGGCCAATGGGTGGGCATGCAAGTCATCCACCTCTCATGCATTAAGAGGGGATGTGAATCAGGTTGCCCTGTCTAAACTTTAGCCCAGTCCTCACAATTTATCCATGGCTCAAATGTAGGACTGGGTTGACATCCATTTTGTCATACAGTCACAGATTTTAAATCTGACTATTACACTGCCATTACACTATTTTCAGCAATTAATTTCCTGTGGTGCAGCTGTACTCTCTCAATCTTGTGGTATCCAGGTATAGGTATATTTAATCCATGGAGGTCTCCTTTTTAAACCAACAGAATTCTGAATTCAATAAGAAATCAGTAATGGCAACTCCCATATTTTATGTATAAAATGTAGGGTCCATTCACACCAACCACTGTGATATAACGCAGTTATTGGTGTGCAATGCAGTCCAGTGGGATCACCTCACTGTAAAGTACTGTTCCCTTTTTTTTTTAAAACAAACCTCATTGAAATGTCACACAAAAATCTCATAAAGTTCCACTGGCCAATGCACAGTGCGATGGGGTGCCTCATACTGCATGCACTACTTTTTTTCCAGTGCATCATGCCCACACATTACTGCAACACAGTGGTGTGAACCGGGCATACAGGTGACAAGGCATTTTGCCTTGTCATGCGGTGGGTCTGCCTTGGAAATCCCACCCAGCGCAGTCCCACAACATCAGGTGGACCCTAAGAGTTTACTTTCACAATGTACCTGTATGTTACATCAGTGTTTTAATGTCATGTTGGATATATGAGCAGCATAGGATTTTAGTTTGCACAAGTTTTCAATTTTAAGTAATTAATTATAGTGTTAATGTTAGGACTGTTTTCCCATTTTTATAAAGCTTCTGAAGATGTGGACAGCAAAATAGATTGCATCAATTGTCAAACGGAGTCAATGTCTCGTAGGTCTGGATCATTTACCAATACTACTGTCAACAGCTCTGATATTTCCAAGGTAGTATGTTGAGTTATGATGTGTGTGATTTGTCTATTTCCTTGTCTAAAGCTTATTTAACCTTGTTTGTGTAAATCACCAAACTATAAAGTTAGACATAAAAAGAAAAAAGCAAAATGTGTATAGCTACAGTGGATACTGCATATCATACATGTCTGTCTGGCTACTGTAATTGTCATAAGGTGGGTGCCATCTTAGTGTCATCTTAGAGTAGAAGATTTGTAGAATTTATTTCCTTATTAAAACTGTATGTAAACATTTGTTATTATGCAATTTTAAAAACTGCATGAAGTTAGGTTCTGCACAGGGGCGGATTGACAACTCATGGGGCCCCCGGGCAATAGGGGATCATGGGGCCCCTGTGTCCTTGCCCAAACTCAAAAAAGCCTATGAAAAAGGTACCAGGGGCATCTCATGGGGCCCCCTACTTACCCCGGGCCCTTGGGCAGTGCCCGAGTTTCCAAATAGTCAGTCCGCCCCCGGTTCTGCATCATTTAACCTCCCTAGTGGTCTGATTATGTCAGTATTTCTGAGCTCAAAGAGGTACTTTTTTTTGCATGGAAATATGTTGTTTTTTTATTGTAGGCCTGTAATTCTTAGGAATAACTCACTGAAATCTGTCCGAACAAGAGTCTAGTAATCATCCTGGGTATGATAAAATTTGAAACATGAAATCATAAATTATAATATAATAATCATAAAAACATAATAATACAATAATAAATTTAATTCAATAATGTAATCAATCCAAAAACGCTGAAATTTGAAATAGAGCGCCAAGTTCGCACATCACTGAGCTTAGTCACAAAATCATTTTCAGTGTCTGATGATGAATTTACCCACGAATCATTATCACTCAATTCTGCAAGTGGTTCTAAATTACTATCATTGTTCTCTAGCTGATCTAAAACCACTTTTGACCTAAAGGGACGCTCTTTGGCAGAAAGAACAGTAAAAATGCAGGCAGGACTGGACAAAGCACTAGGGACAAAATGTATGTGAAATGGTTTGATACAGTAATGTTATGTTATGTGAATTTAGTGTATTGAGTGAATGTCACTGTAAAATTTTTGAATTTCCTGCCGGTTCCATTCCCCGTACGTCCCATATGTCCCGACGCTCGCAGGGAACAGAACCCAGAAGGCGGATGCTGGCATTGGCCGGAGGAGATGGCCGGGGATGCTGCAGGGGGGACATCGCGGGAGCGCTGGACAAGGTAAGTATTTTATACTGCTGGTCACTTTAAGGTAAAAAAATACTTGGGGTATTCATTGTGACTAGAAGCTTTATTTAATTTAAGTAATGAATTGTGAAATTGCGGATCATTCTTTCACAAGAAATGGTTCTACCAGACACAGCAGACAGAAGTATAGTTGGATGCATAAATGGTTGGCACTGGAATAGGAGGCACAGATAGCAGTAAAAGCAATGTGAGTTCCGACTCATCCCTTGTGTGTTTTTGTTTTTGAGGTACCAAGCAAATTTAAAAGCTTTAGCTGAGGTTTTGTTTTAAGAATATGCAGAATATATAAAAATGATCTTTGTAATTCATATGTATTGCATATCTCCTTTCCTCATTTGCAGTACCAAATAAAAAAATCGAAGTTATAGCATAATGTCCACAACACCAGAACCCCCTGGGAATGACTCTCTATCGTGAGAAGAAGTAAAGAAGATGTGCCCACATACAGGTCAAATTACTATGTCTTATGTAATGCATTATTAAAGATTACAGGAGTTTGTAACAATATGAAACTGAAATTCTACATTTATTCTAATTATTTCCACAGTGCTGCTGATGAGGACAATGACAGTATAGAATTAGATGGTAAGTTCTGAAATATGTGCTACATAGTTACATACAGTCATGGTAAAAATATTGGCACCTCTGCATTTCAGTCAGATAATGCACCATTTCACCAAAAAATTATTTAAATTACAAATGTTTAGGCATTCTCTTGTTTATTTATTTTGTTTGCATTGGTAGGACACAAGAAAGTGGAGAAACAAAAAGCCAAATCTGACACATTCCACACAAAGATTCAAAAATGGACTGGACAAAATTATTGGCACCCTCAATTTAATATTTGGTGGCACACCCCTTGGAAAAATTAACTGAAATCAATTGCTTCCTGTAACCATCAATGAGTTTCTTACACCTCTCTACTGGAATTTTGGACCGCTCTTCTTTGCCAACTGCTCTAGGTTCCAGATCTCTCAGATTGGAGGGGTTCCTTTTCCCAACTGCTGTTTTAAGATCTCTCCACAGTTGCTCTATGGGATTGAGATCTGGACTCATTGCTGGCCAGTTCAATACTCTCCAGCACTTTTGTCTAAAACCATTTCTGGGTGCTTTTTGACGTGTGTTTTGGATCATTGTCCTGCTGTAAGACCCATGACCTCTGACAGACACCCAACTTTCTGGCACTGGGCCCTACATTGCACCCTAGAATTCTTTGGTAGTCTTCCGATTTCATGATGCCATGCACATGGTCAAGACATCCAGTACCTGAAGCAGCAAAGCAACCCCAAAACATCAGTGAACCTCCACCATGTTTGACTGTAAGCTGTAGTTTTGTTTTGTCTGTCCTCAGCATATTCTCCCAAAACGATTTTGGCTTCCTCAGGTAAGTTTTGGTAAATTCCAATTTGGCTTTTTTATGTTTCAGTGTCAGCAGTGGGGTCCTCTTGGGTCTCCTACCGTAGCATCCCTTTTCATTCAGAGGGCAACGTATAGCGCAAGCTGACACAGATGTACCCTCTGCCTGAAGGTCATCTTGAATTTGTCTGGAAGTTGATCCAGGTACTTTGGCCACCATTCAAACAATCTTTTGTTGCAATCTTTCATCAGTTTTTCTCTTTCGTCCACGTCCAGGGAGATTATCTACCGTGCAATGGGCTGTAAACCTTTTGACAATGTTGCGCACAGTGGACACAGAAACATTATGATCTCTGGAGATTGACTTGTAATCCTGACATTGTCCATGCTTTACCCCAATTTTTGTTCTTAAACCCTCAGCCAGTTCTTTGCTGCTCTTTCTCTTCTCCATGGTCCATGTAGCACACAAGGACACACAACAGAAAGGTTGAATAAATTTTTCATTATTTTAACTGGTTGCCAGTGTTATTTCTGTATTGTCAGCACCTGTTAATTGATACAGGTTGGTTTAATCACAAATTACAGGAACATCACAAACTTGGAATGCAATTATTTCTTACAGTTTTGAGAAGGTGCCAATAATTTTGTCCAGTCCATTTTTGGAGTTTTGGGTGGAATGTGTCAGATTTTGCTTTTTGTTTCTCCACATTTCTGTGTTATAACAAAACAAACAAAAGAAATAAACATGAGAATGCCTAAATATTCGTAATTGCAACAGTTTTTTGGGCAAAGTGGTACATTATCTGGCAGAAATGCAGGGGTGCCAATATTATTGGCCATGACTGTAGTTGCTAGGGTTGAATAAAAGTACTAGCCCATACAATTCAACCTGTGTGGGTGTGTGTGTTTATGTTAATACCATTTGCGATATCCCTGTATATTGCATTCGTTAAGATGTTCATCTAAGATTTTTATTTTAATGTTCGACACTCCTGACCGACACCACTAACTGTGGAAAGGAATTCCACGTCTTCACTGCTCTGAAAGTAAAGAATACCTGACACAGTTTTAAAGTGTACACAGAGCATGGAAATGCAATTATTTTAGTAAATTTAAACCACTAAATACCTTTTCTCATTAGCGGTTAGAGCAGTCCTGTGACTTCTATCAGTGTTCAGCCAAGCACTGGTTAAAGTTTGTAGGGGGAGTTTTCATTCTCCTCTCACTGCCCTATGAGATTGCATAACCCCTGACCCTCTGTCTGGACAGTGCTGATTGGCCCTGTGTTGATCACATGCACCCTCCCAAGAAAAATAAAAAACTCTCTAGCAGTACTCACCAACTGAGCATGTGCAGAGTGTCCCCAAGGCTGTGTTTTATCAGGAGATGAAATGTTGAACGTGGAGGAAGGGGAAGATCAGAGAAGACAGGATCAAACATCCTTTTTACACAATGCAGAGGATTAACATCTTAAGTGCCATAGTGAGTATAATAAGCATGTTTTACTGCATATACATACTGATTTTAATGTTGTGGGTTTAGTATCACTTTAAGGTTAAACAGCTTCTTGTTCAACTTCATTGAGTGGCCATGTGTCCTCTTAAGTGGCATGAGACTGAATAGTTTTTTTTTCCTTATGCTTGAATCACAATTAAGATATTTGTATATCACTATCATATTACCTCTTAAACATCTCTTCTCCAGGGAGATTAAGCTTAATGCTTGTAGTCATTACTTGTAGGTCCTACAGTCCCCGTATTAGCTTTGTTACCCTTCTTGGACTCTCTCCAGTTCCAGCACATCCTTCCTGAGGACTGGTGACCAGAACTGGATGCAATACTTGAGATGTGGCCTGACCAGAGTTTTTTAAAGTGGTAAAATTATAGTCTTATCTCTTGAGAAAAATGCCATTTTTAATCCATGCTAATATTCTGCTAGCTTTGCTAGCTGCAGCTTGGCATTAAATGTTATTTCTGAGCCTGTGATCTACTAGGAACCCCAGATCTTTTTCCATCCTGGATTCCCCCAAAGGTTCTCCCCTAGTGAGTAACTCATGTTCAAGTGCATTACTTTATATTTTTCAACACTAACTCTCATTTGCCTTGTAGTTGCCCACCTCTTTATTTTATTTAGGTCTTCTTTTAAAGTTTCTATATCATGTTGTGAAGTTATTGCCCTGCTTAGCTTTGTATCATTAGCAAACACTGAGATTGAACTATTTATACCAACCTTTATTTCATTTATGAGTAGATTAAACTGAATTGGTCCCGGGACAAAGCCTTGGGGTACCCTGCTCCAGACCATTTTGAGTACACACTATTTATCAACACTCTTTGACCCTTGTAACCAGTTTTCTATCCAGGTACATACACCATCATCCATGCCAACAGACCTCAATTTGTAAGTTAAGTGTTTGTATGGAACTGTATTGAATGCTTTGGTAAAATCCAGATTCACCACGTCCACAGGCCTTCTTTTATCTGGATGATGGATCACTTTTTTATAGAATGTTAACAGTTTAGAAATTTTGTCTCTTGAAATTTTGTGTTCTTGCACTACCCTCATATCTTCTTTTCCTATGACTTACGTTGAATATAATCACTCTGTGATCAATGTTTCCTACATAATCTCTTTGTTCCATTTCTGCAATCAGATTTGTGTTACCTTTAATTAATAGATCTAGCAGAGCATTATGTTTAGTTGACATATGATGTTATCCTGCAAAATATTTAAGAAATTACAAGCCTTAAATGAGTGAGCAGCTCCATCTGCCCAGTCAGTATCTGAATAATTGAAGTCCCCCATTACAGGTGAAACTCGAAAAATTAGAATATCGTGCAAAAGTTCATTTATTTCAGTAATACAACTTAAAAGATGAAACTAATATATGAGATAGACTCATTACATGCAAGTAAGATAGTTCAAGCCGTGATTTGTCATAATTGTGATGATTATGGCTTACAGCTTACGAAAACCCCAAATCCACAATCTCAGAAAATTAGAATATTACATGCAATCAATAAAACAAGAATTGTACATAGAACAATATCGGAGCTCTGAAAAGTATAAGCATGCATATATACTCAGTACTTGGTTTGGGCCCCTTTTGCCGCAATTATTGCCTCAATGCGGCGTAGCATGGAAGCTATCAGCCTGTGGCACTGCTGAGGTGTTATGGAAGACCAGGATGCTTCAATAGCGGCCTTCAGCTCTTCTGCATTGTTCGGTCTCATGTCTCTCATCTTTCTCTTGGCAATGCCCCATAGATTCTCTATGGGGTTCAGGTCAGGCGAGTTTGCTGGCCAATCAAGCACAGTAATCCCACGGTCATTGAACCAGGTTTTGGTGCTTTTGGCAGTGTGGGCAGGTGCCAAGTCCTGCTGGAAAATGAAGTCAGCATCCCCATAAAGCTCATCTGCGGAAGGAAGCATAAAGTGCTCCAAAATCTCCTGGTAGACGGCTGCGTTGACCCTGGACTTAATGAAGCACAGTGGACCAACACCATCAGATGACATGGCTCCCCAAATCAACACAGACTGTGGAAACTTCACACTGGACTTCAACTATCTTGCAGTGTGTGCCTCTCCATTCTTCCTCCATACTCTGGGTCCTTGGTGGTTTCCAAATGAGATGCAAAAGTTGCTCTCATCAGAAAAGAGGACTTTGGACCACTGAGCAACAGACCAGGTTTGTTTTTCTTTAGCCCAGGTAAGACGCTTCTGACGTTGTTTGTTGTTCTGGAGCAACTTGACAAGAGGAATACGACATTTGAAGCCCATGTCCAGGATCCGTCTGTGTGTGGTGGTTCTTGATGCACTAACTCCAGCCTCAGTCCACTCCTTGTGAAAGTCCCCAACACTTTTGAATGGCCTTTTCCTGACAATCGTCTCCAGGCTGCGGTCATCCCTGCTGCTTGTGCACCTTTTTCTTCCACACTTTTCCCTTCCACATAACTTTCTATTAATGTGCTTTGATACAGCACTTTGGGAACATCCAACTTCTTTTGTAATTACCTTTTGAGGCTTTCCCTCCTTATGGAGGGTGTCAATTATGTTTTTTTTGTTTATATCACAAAAAATAAAAACCGCAGAGGTGATCAAATACCACCAAAAGAAAGTTCTATATATGTGGGAAAAAAAGGACATACATTTTGTTTGGGTACAGTATTGCACGACTGCACAATTATCAGCTGAAATAGCGTAGCGCCAAACAGCAAAAAATGACCTGGTCTGGAAGTGGGGGTAAATCTTCTGGAGGGCAAGTGGTTAAGTGACCAAGATGCTAATTTGCTGAATTCACAAGCATACATCCAAAATGTCTCCACAGCTTACATTTATGGGGTCTGGAGAGGCTGGTGTAATTAATTTGCCCCAAGTGCAGTAAAAAGACAGAACCCATTCTTGTCAGGTGTCCTTGTTTTGTCTCAATCTTGTACTTGTCAAATAGATTCTATATGCACTACAATCAGGAGAAACTCTCTAAAATTTCAGGTGTGGAGAGATCCATTGTTCGAAAGATTATCTCTGTAACATTGTTTTGTTTGCGGACCCTCAGCAGTTTCAGTTGGAAAAGCAGAGATTCTCTGACGGGAAGGTCGAGCTTAAAATGAAGGTTTTACATTGATTTGTATCATATAGTCCAAGGATAAAATGATAAAATATGCTTAATAAATAATTTTTCATAAAAGTTCTGATACCATTTTCTCTGATACTTCTTCTGTACCCAGAATCTTATTTAATCTATTGGGCTGCATGTGGTGTGCCAAAAGTTCATGCTGTGCTGCTCATGCTGTGTACATTAAAAAGTACATTATCGTCTACCAAAAAAAAACTAACATTTTCTCCCAGCTTCAGTACTGCTATATTGGATGTTTTTTTTACCCTACCTAACTATATAACTATTAAATAGGTTTGGGTGATGATTACTGCACAGGTGTTATTGTGGTACACAGATACATTTTGGCATTTTTCTGAATTCATTTTGTAGTTTAAAATGTGTTTGCTGTTTCCAAGCTATGGGTAATTTAATTACATGCAGCTTATAAATAATTTTCCTGTAGAACTCTTAGAGTGACACTGGTGACTCTGCCAAGGGCAACACTTGCCTGCAGCCAGCTGCCAGCAGCAGAATCACCAAAATTCTCTAATGGAAGTCACTCTTTTTTGGCCAAAATGCTGAATAATATCAGTCCTTGGGGAGCAAATAGGAAATAAATAACACCTTGCTGGTTTGTGGTAGAAAACAGTGAGATGAGTTTTAGCAAATTACTTGTGGAATATAGGAAATTAACATACACTCACTGGCCACTTTATTAGGTACACCTTGCTAGTACCTGGACCCCCTTTTGCCTTCAAAACTGCCTTAGATGTGGCATAGATTCAACAAGGTTTTGGAAACATTCCTCAGAGATTTTGGTCCATAGTGACATGGGTTACTGTTGCCTTTCTATCAACTCGAACTAGTCTGCCCATTCTGCTCTGGCCTCTGACATCAAAAAGGCATTTTCATCCATGCAACTGCTGCTCACTGAATATTGTCTCTTTTCAGACCACTCTCTTTAAACCCTAAAACCCTAAACCCTCATGTTTTGCATGAGAATCACAGTAGATCAGCTTTTGAAATACTCAGACCGGCCTGTATGGCACCAACGACCATGCCACATTCAAAGTCACTTAAATTCCCTTTCTTCCGCATTCTAAGCTCAGTTTGAACTTTAACAAGATGTCTTCACCACGTCTAGATGTCTTATTGCGTTGCTGCCATGTGATTGGCTGATTAGCAATTTGTGTTACCAACCAATGGAACCTAATAAAGTGGCCGGTGAGTGTATAAGCTAGTTTGAGTGTATAAGCTACCTCTGTAAATTAGGTAAATTATTGTGAAAGCAATGCAGAAACCTATGGCTGAGTTTACTAATGAAGATTACAAGCATTCAGTTCAGAAACAAGATTATTACTTCCCTATTGTCCTATCAGTGCTTCCATTTAACAAAATACATGTACAGTCGTAAGTGCTGATCTACACTCTCACCTTAAAACCTGAATGTGCTAATGCTATTTATTTTGTCTTTGCAGATGAGTTTCATGACAGATACTCATATGGTCCTCCATCTATTCATTCCTCCTCTTCTTCACACCAGTCAGAAAGCCTGGACAGCTATGACCTTGAACAAGTTAATTCTATGTTTCGAAAGTTGTCTCTAGAAAGGTACATTTATTATACTCACACTATGAATTGCCAATATAAGTTACATTTTTAAACACATCACATTTTCAGATTTTGCTGTTTGTACAGTTTTAGTAGTTTGTCAAATCAAAGCCTGCCTACTGTATCAGAAAATAGTTATTGGGGGGTGGGTAGGGATTTTCTGAAGGAGTAATATGTTGAACTAAATGTAGATATGCCTATCTGTGCATGTTTATCAATGTTGGCTCAGATAATCATGTCAGTTTATTAGGTTTTTCAATGTTAGGCATTAACATCTGTTAATTTCTGTCTAATCGAGTCTGTTAAATATGTTCAATAAGTAGATCACCGCTGTAGGGTCTTGGATGCTTCAGTGAACTTCTAAAATACACAGAATACTGTACATAAGAAAATAATTTTTGGGCTGATCACACAGCAGCCATACCAGGTGCCAACCATGGGAAATAACAGTTAGTGGTGTTAGATATTTTCAGCCAATAGCTATGCTTAATATAAGCCCCACTGCAGAGGTGTCTGGTTGTGTTAAATCTTCTGCCTACACTGACAAGCATGCTGAAGTGATCTATATGGCTAGTGTATGGGAAGATCATTCAAAGAAACATGTTAGCAGCAGGGGCGGACTGACCATTTGGAAACTCGGGCACTGCCCGAGGGCCTGGGGTCAGTAGGGGGCCCCATGAGATGCCCCTGGAACCTTTTTCATAGGCTTTTTTGAGTTTGGGCAAGGACACAAGGGCCCCATGATCCCCTATTGCCCGGGGGCCCCATGAGTTGTCAGTCCGCCCCTGGTTAGCAGTTGTATTCTGCTGGAGCATCAGTGTGGAGTAATAATCTGTTAGTTGTAACTGCACTTTATTTAGAAACAAATTTATTTCAGAAGCAAGCAAGGCTGAATCAAAAGAAAAACAAGAAATAAACTGTTAGAATATGACTTTATCAGGGGCATGGGTAGGTCCATAATATATTTGGAAAACCTCTAAGCAGAGAACTAAAGAAAAAAATGAACAATAAATAGCTAAGACTAGCACATGGTTTTTGTTTTAAGGAAGAAATTGAGCTTTCAGGTCTACACGCCATATTAAATTTACTGCAATGACTTCAAACACAGAAAATTGTCAGTCAGGTCATACTTCAGTTAGAGGTCATACTATAATAGAAGTAAAGAGGGGGCATGCTGGAGATTTGTTCCATACAACCCAACTATTCTTAGAGCTTACCATACTGTAGAGAAGTGTTTTTTTGCAGTGGCCTTAAAGCAACCACCTTTCCATTTTGTTTTCTATGTATATGTGGCTTTATATATTTTTTATAAAGTGTTCATGCTTTAGCAGTTTTTTTTTTACTGAGGAGTGCCAACCAGCCTTACTCATTTAGTTGTTCATCTTTCCAGTGCATTTTTTGGTGAAGTGGTGCCCAAACTGAAACTACATAATAGTTCACAAGGGATCATAACTCTGACTCTCTCTCCAGAGTCTAGGCCTGAACCAAAAAGTTTTTTTACTACCTAAGAATTAGTATGCAAAAAAAAATATATTTGTTAAAGAAGTGCTTTTTTTTCCACAATTTTTAATATGTATAGTTTTTTTTCAAAATAACAAATGCAGTAAACAAGAAGGTTTAGTTGTCTGGATGAAAAGTTTAGTGCAGTATAAAATTTCTGGCAGTTAAAGCAGAACCTTAGGTTAGCCATACACATGTGAACTAAACAAAAGGAATTAATAGATTCCCCTATCCACGCTACATAGTGAGGATGGAGGAATCTCTCCTGCTGGCTATTGTATTCTAACAGCTGCCTCTCCCAAAGCTGTTAGAATACCCAAACAGTGATTGCAGCTGATTGGAATCTAGAATTTTCTGCCTGCTTCTTTGATTTTTGGATCAAAGTTTGTCAACAAAAGTGATGCAAACAGCCACCCACAATTTTGATGCTTGAGCCATATATAGGCAACATTAGTCAGAAAATTAAGTTCTGACAGATAAATGAATGTTGGTCCCTTTTGCTAGCATGTCTATACTAAACATAAAAAAGGGAACCTATTTTATTTAAATTCTATAATTCAATTTCAGATCCTGCTCACGAGCCTGTTCTGTTGACAGCAACAATACATACTGCTGCCAAAGATGGCGGAAGAAGCAGGTGATAGGGCAAATTACTGCCAGAGAAACATAGGATTCCACTTAGAAGCATACTGCATTTACCTCCCCGATCCTTTTTCTTTTCTCTCTTGGCAGCTGTGTGCACCTTGGCATCGTGCAGCTACTGCACCCTTCCACTCTATCTAGGCAAAGATAAATAATGAGGGTTTAAAAGGCAAACAATTTTAATTAAAGACTAGTTGTGTGAGCAGGGGCTGACTGACCATTTGGAAACGCGGGCACTGCCCGAGGGCCCGGGGTCAGTAGGGGGCCCCATGAGATGACCCTGGTACCTTTTTCATACGCTTTTTTGAGTTTGGGCAAGGTCACAGGGGCACCATGATCCCCTATTGCCCGGGGGGCCCCATGAGTTGTCAGTCCGCCCCTGTGTGTGAGACTCACGAGAGAGGGCAAGATCTCAACAAGGAAGTGACTACTCACCCTGAGCTCTTCTGTTGGCAAAATGGTGGCTTCAGGCAAGAAGAAATAAGAGCAATGTTGGAGGCCATTTACAGCCCACTTTGTTTTAGCTAGCATTAATGTGGAATGTATCTTTATTGTTAAAGAACATTAATTTGTTTAGCTGTTTTTTAGGAACAATGCAATATGTTATAAACATCCAACAGTCTAAGATATCCTAGTGGTTACTTGTCTGTCCACAGCCTCTATTACATGTCTGGCCTTCATTTTAGCATTTCACCCCCTGGCTCTAATAGACTTTACCTTATTTTTCTTGTGATGCAGCAACTAAGGGATCAGCTCTCCCTCTTACTTTAATCCAGCTCTCTGGGTCTGCACACACAAATATATAAGAAACAGTGCAGCGCTACCAATAACAATTTTTTTTTTGTTCTGCAAAAAACATGCAAATGAGATAAAAATCCCTCCAGACAGACAACTGGTGTGAATCAGCTGGAAGAATGCTTAAAGTCCACCCAAACAGTCTTTATAAAATAATTAGTAGTTGATGGTGCTGAAGGAATAATAAACAGAAGAGGAAAACCCTTCGCATTTCTAACCGATCACACCACCTCTTACAATAACAGTTAAAAGGAACGGTCAAACAGTGCAGTATAAACCCATACAAAATGATAAGAGCTTTAGGAATGTACTCTCCACCAGCTTCTTCCACTTACAACACTCTTTTTAATTTAGAAGTCAATGCAGGCAGATGGACAGAATTACTCCCAAGAGGTAACAATCAAAAGAGAGAAAAGAGCCATCTTATAGTGTAGTAAAAGTGAGTACCAACATTTATTCAAAGTAATAGGAAATACACATAGGAAAAGATAAAACCAGTATATCAAAAATAGCGATATGTTGTTTCCAACCAACAAGATGGCCACTGGGGGGGGCATGTCTGGACCATGAGGCTGAGCGGCTGCTAATCCTGAAAGCTCCGATCCTCCAATGGCTACCTTGAGGGCTATCTTCAGCAGATCGAGCCGACACACACATGACCAGAGGCCAGAGACAGTCATAGCACACCAGGACATAGCACACAGAGGGGATTTCTCTCCAGCCACGTCCTCCAGTGGCATCTGCAGCACAACGAATATGGCTGCTCGGCAGCACACACAGCACAGAAACAGCAACACATGATAGAGGCAGACCCAAGCCTCTTTCAGAGTGAGGCAGACATCCCGATGCTGCTGTCCCCTATAACCACCCCACGGCTCACTAGGGAACCCTCTCAGTTTGAGTCAGAGCCCTCCCAGCAGTCCGGCCTACAACACTGGGCCATGGACTCTGAGCTTAGATCCATCCTTCGGGCCTTACCTACCAGGCAGGACATAAAGGCCCTCCCCTCTAGGACAGACTTGGAATCTGTGGAACAGAGGATTGATGGTACCCTACAGAAGGAGATATCAGAGGTTAGGCAGGAAATATCACAGGTGGATGCCAGGGTTGCCTTCCTGGAAGAAGCAAGGAACTCTGCTAACACTTGCCTGAGTGCACTACAGGAATATTGTGCCTTCTTTCACAGACACTTTACCACCATTCTCCTCTGCCTGGAAGATGCCGAGAATCGAACTGAAGGAATAATCTGAGTTTAAAGTGAATTTCGGAATCCACATCTGGTGCTGATCTTAGAACCACAGTCCAGACTATATGTAATACTATTCTGGGCAAAGCCCCTGATACCGAGCTGGAATTAGATAGAGTACACCGAATTCATTCGCCGAGATCTGGAGGTCCAGACTCTCCTAGGGATGTTTTATGTCGAGTCCACTTTTACACAGTAAAATAAGATATTCTTCCTAAGACATGGCAAAATGGTCCATTGGACTTTGACGGGGCACTTATTCAGATTTATCCGGACCTTTTCAATATACCATGTGAATGGGGGGTGTGGCGTGCCCTCTGCTCGAGGTGATACAGGCTACCTACAGATGGGGATACCCCTTTCTATTCTCAACAGCAAGCAAAACCAATCCTTTGATTTGCATACTCCTTCTCAGCTGCCCGATCTTTTTCAATTCCTGGAAGCTGGAAGTTCCAGACTGGTTGGAATGGCCAGACGACAGCCGGGCTCCCTCCGCTGTGGTTCTGATAGGGATCCAGGTATGACCAGAAATGTGTGGACTGACACAGGGAACAGCAGGCTTCAGAAATGAAATAATAATAGAATTTATTAAGAGCCGCAACAAAATAAACAAAAGCAGTGCAAACAAAACCAAACCTTAAACTAATATAAATAAGAACAAGTGTCGTCAGGGCTGGAGAGGTGGAGTGGTCAGGCAGGCCGGGTCAGGAACAATCGGGAAGACAAGGTACAACAGGAGCAGGCAGGAGAATGGTCAGGAA